TAGAATGAAACATGGAGACCAGAATGATTGGATGCTGTCCCAAGTAGAGTGGCAGCCTGGAGAGACCCTCTGAGGGACTGTTGAGAGAATGCTGGACACGCTGTCAGAAAATATCATGGAAGCCTAGGAAATGCTCCTTGTGGTCACTACAAGTTCAAGTTCCCCCAGGCAATGCGGACAGAGAGCAACCTGGGGACCAAAATCTTCTTCAAAGCTCTGCTACTCAGTGGAGACTTTTCCCAAGTGGGGAAGAACGGCTATCACATATGGGTCAGTATAGAGAAGACCAGCGACTATCTGAAGCCTCAGGACCTGGCCCAGGTTAGGAGATTCCTTCAGGACCTCTGATGGATGGAGCTGCTTGTGGTGTTTCTCAAATAGGCCATGGATAGGACTTGAGGCACTGCATGGCTGCTTTGCATTTTCGGGGAAGCTAAGTTCTGAGAATTAAAGGTGTGTGTCTGTGTGTTGGTCCTTTGAGGACCAGGTACCCATCTTTCCACTTTCTCTCACTGTGAACTGGGCACTGCATTGCTTTATAGCCTGTCAGCTGGCTTATGGACCTAGGAAGAAAGAGTAAAAGGAAGGTTGAGCTAAAGTCCTGAGCTCTGACCCATGAGAACCTTGTTCAGTGGTTTCTCTTAGCCATTCTCCATTTTATTCTTCCTTTTCTTTCTACTTCATGTTTTAGTCTACCCTATGAAATCATGCCTCTCTTTCCTCCCTTCTTCCCTCCTCCCTACAGTCTTCCTTTAAAAAGCATTTGATATTTAAAAAGAAATTAATCATATTTTACCTATTTTTAAATAAATCAGTACAGATTCCCCCCTCCAAAAAAAAGAACGAAAACCTACCAAAAATGGACACATTTCTAGAGAAAAACAAATTGCCAAAGCTGAACCAAGAAGATATAAATCAACTAGATAAGTCAATAACTTATAATAAGATAGAGCAGTAGTTTTCCACTAAGGAAAAGCCCAGGTCCAGATGGATTCACTATAGAATTCTATAATTCTAGAAGCAGAGGGAGCAATCTCAAACTCATTCTTTGAAGCTAATATCACACTCATCCCCAAACCAGGTAAAAATCTAACAAAAAAAAAGAGAACTGCACACCAATCTCTTTGATGAACACAGATGCAAAGTTCCTTAATAAAATTTTAGACAAAAGAATCCAGAAGCATATAAAAAAGTATGTACGCTTCATCTAAAAGATACAAAGCTGTTTTAATATATGTAATAAATGTAATAAATCATATCAATAGAGCCAAGATCAAGAACCACATGATTATCTCCATTGATGCAAAAAAGGATTTTCATAAAATAAAAGGCTTTTGTTAAAAGCTCTGGAGAAAATAAGAATAGGAGGAACATTCTTTGAAACATATGTGATGACCAACAGCCAGTATCATACTAAATGGAGAAAAACTAAAACCAATTCCCCTAAAACCAGGAACAAGGCAAAGATGCCCACTCTCCCCACTCCTCTTCAACATAGTTCTGGAATCCTTAGCCAGAGCAATAAAGCAAGAAAAGGACATTAAAGGGATCTACATAGGGAAGGAAGAAATTAAACGATTCCTATTTGCAGATGACAGGATATTATACCTTAATGACCCCAAAACTCCACTCCCAAACTCCTAGAACTTATAAACCACTTTAGCAAAGTTAGCAGGATACAAAATTAACCCACAAAAATCAGTTGCTTTTCTGTACACCAACAATGTACAAGCAGAAAAGGAAATCAGAGAAACAACCCCACTCACAATAACCTCAAAAAAATGGTCATATTGCCAAAAATGATATACAAAATCAATGCAATTCCCATCAAAATCCCAGTGGTGTTTCTTACTGAAATCGAAAGAACAACAAAAGACCTAGAATAGCCAAAGCAATTTTAGAAACAACACATGAGGTATCACAATACCATAGTTTAAGCTCTTCTTTAGAGCCATAATAACAACAACAACAAAAGCTTGGTATTGCCACAAAAATAGACCCAAAGACCAATGGAAGAGATTAGAAGACCCAGAAATAAAACCACACACTTGCAGTCAATTGATATTTGATAAAGAAGCCAAAGACATACAGTGGAAAAAACATAACCTCTTCTACTATTGTTGCTGGGAAAACTGGCAGCCACGTGCAGAAAACTAAAAGTGGACCCCAGCCTGTCACCATGCACTAACATCAACTCAAAATGGATCAATGGCTATATATTTTACATCCCTCAAGGAAACCATTATAGCAAGATTGCACTCTTTCAGAACCTGAGTCTCTATCTTTAATATTGAAATGCTTATCACAAAGGGATTTCCTATGCCATCATACTACCAAATTATTAGCAAAAAATTACGTGAAAATGCCAAGTTGTCATTACCAGCTTAATCGTTGATGAGTGCCTTAAACAATAGCTGGGTGAAATAATGACAATAATAAAAAGTTTAAGCTGTTGTCCAAAGGCAAGAATGCATTGATAGGAATACAGCCCCAAGCCAGCAGCTCTAGAGCTAGACAAACATTTCTAAGCACTATGAAGAGTATTAATTATATAAAAACCGCACACCGTAATGATACTTTTACAAGGCAAATGAAAAATTCTTAATAATATCTCAAAGTGAGCAAGCTAATGGAAAATACTTTATAAGGCTAACTGCCCCTTCAATATCTTAGAAAGCTAAAAAGCTGATGATAGAAGAAAAAAAGGGGACTGAAGGAGCAGCTCCAGTGTTTGAACTCTAGCCATGGAAGCAGAGCAAGCTGGAGACCCTGAGTTCAAAGCTCAATGCCACCACCACCAAAAAACAAACACAAATCAAGAGAAAAAAAAAAAGTAAAAAGCCGGGCACCAGTGGTTCATGCTTGTAATCCTAGCTACTCAGGAGGCTGAGATCTGAGGATTGTGGTTCAAAGACAGCAGGAAAGTCCATGAGACTCTTATCTCCAATAAACCACAAGAAAACTGGAAGTGGTGCTGTAGCTCAAGTGGTAGAGCCCAGCCTTGAGCTGAAGAGCTGAGGGACAACATTCAGGCCCAAAGTTCAAGCCCCACGAACAACAAAACAAAACAAAAAAAGTAGTAAAAGAAGAAAGCAGTAAGAAATTTTTGTCTAAAAATATTTTAGAAATACTAAAATAGAGCAACGCAAGTAAAACCATAAGAGCAATGTGTAGGGGAATAATTTTAATGCCAAAAGGAAAAGAAAAATATTTGAGAAACAGTGACAAACACAGATACAGGCAAAGATCATACACATGTGCATGTATAAAATGTCGCAATCAATAAAACATAAAAAGGAAATAAAAAAACTGTCCTTAACTTGTATAAGCTCTGGCTTTGTTTCTCATCTTACAAAATAAAAAACAAGCATTTGAACTTCCTTTTGGTAAACCAAATACATACAACATACTACATACGTACATAATACATAATACATACATACTACATACTGCTAAAAGTGACTCCATACTGAGAATGTAGAATGAAAATTGAGTTAGTTACAGCAGGTGAATAACCACTATATAGGACATTACTATATATATATATATATATATATATATATATATATATATTCTACATCACTGTATAGTGATGTAGAAAATCTAAAATAATTATAGTAAGATAACTTGAGCTAAGGCCTAAATATGAGGCAAAACTGATTGTCTAATATAAATACTACTACACAATGGACTTTGAGATGAGATAACTGAATTCATGAATGTTGATCCTAGAAGCCTTAATTTGGGAATATAATATAAAACAAGCTTTAGACATATGCCTTCAGAAATCTTTTTTTTTTTTTTTTTGTCAGTCATGGGGCCTGAACTCTGGGCCTGGGCACTATCCCTCAGCTCTTCAGCTCAAGGCTAGTGCTCTACCACTTGAGCCACAACACCACTTCCGGCTTTTTTCTTTTTGTTTATGTGGTGCTGAGGAATCAAACCCAGGGCCTCATGCATGCAAGGCAAGCACTCTACCACTGAAGTGAAAAATAAATACATACTTATTGAAAATAGGCAATTGTTGAGAGTACTGTTCTGCTTATATAGCTATAGTATACACATTTAGATATGATGTAGATATATTCAATGGGGAAGATGGTGGTAGAAAAGCAAATTATTACCAATTACTTTATTTTGTCTTAAAACCATAAAATGCTAAAAAAAAATTACTTAGGGCCCAAGGGAACTTTTGTCTATAGGTCCTCATATTAACATTTGTATTAGAAATAAGAGTACTAATAATTATACCTGTAAGATGTTGAAAATATACCTATAATATGCTAGCATATATTTTATTAAAATAATTATTTCTCCTCTGAAAAAAAATAATGAAAAGATTGTCTTACAGAGACATGTTCTTAAGTTCTCATAAATAACTTGGCTTCAATAATATGTTTATTGGAATAGATAAGAAAATCCAGCTCCATACAGATAATTGAATAAGAGGTTATTTTAACAGCTATTTTATATAACTGTGGATGTTCTACTTTAATAGTCATGTTTCTTAGACATTGATTTCAATATAGGATCTGAATCTATTTCATGCAAATTATCAAGCATTCAGACATTAAATATATTGGTTTATCTTTTAAAAAAACATAAAATGCTATTACCTCCAATAAGATGATGGAAGAAATGAAGAAATAAGAAAAAAATTAGTTTGATAATTTAAGTATTGTATATTATGTGGATCAAATAGATAGTAATGGAGATTGCTATCTATCATATTTCTAGAATTTAAAGGGTCATAACCAGAAGTCTACTACAATAGTAGGTAGCCCAGGTCAAATTTGGATGTGTTCTACTAGTGCCATGCTGTTCAGGGCAGGCCTTGGGCTCCGGAGGGACCCAGCATTCCAGCATTTGTTGCTCTAGGATTAATCATGACATTACTCTTCCAACATATGACAATAGAATATGAAAAGAAAGACTGAATTCTTGGAGAAAGCAAAGGGAGGTAGGTGCCAAGTTGTAGGTGGCTAGTGCCACCCTGGTAATTATTCCAAGATCACACAAACTCTTGCAATCGCTGTTAACAGGCCAGTGACGAAGAACCAGGCATCTAAACCCACTGAAGTCCGAGAGAAAAACTTGGGAAACTCTCCCAGTTCCTCTTCCAGTTGAAGCTTTTAACACACCAAAGGAGATATAGAACAAAACTAGGCTTGGGTCACTCTCAGCATACCTGAAGCAGACTTTGTAACACGCCTTAATTTAGATTGCCCTCTAGTGATAAAATAGGAGAAGGGACATCGGACTGAGACTGGAAAGATAGGTGCTCTAAGAGTGGAGGGGAAACAAAGGAGGAGGCTACAATGCTTGATAAGAAATGTACTCATTATCTTGCCCATGTAATTGTAACCCTTCTGTACAGTATTTTCACAATAAAAATTAAAAAAATTAAAAGAGTGGAATGAACATTTCTTTGATACATACATAATGTTGCACACCAGCAAGCATCCATAGTGTCAAACTAAACAATTAAAGCAAAAGCTGGGCCCTGGTGTAATCCTAGCTACTCAGGAGTCTGAGATCTGAAAATTACTGTTTGAAGTTAAACTAGGTGAGAAAGTTGTGATTCTCTTATCTCCAATTAACCACCCTCAGGCCAGAAGTGGAGCAGTAGCTCAAATGTTAGAGTACTATAGCCTTGAGCAGAAAAGCTCAGGGACCATGCCCAGGGCCTGAGTTTAAGATACAGAACTGGCACTAAATAAACAATATATTTAGAGATAGACATAGGAAGATATAAAATGATTCACCAGAAATCAATAATATGGAGCTGGGTAGAATAGGAATGAAAGTTTATCCATTTCATTTTTACTTCCCAGGTTTTATCTAATTATTGCATAATATAATAAAACAAACAAAAAATTGTAATAAACAACCCCAAAATAAGGAAGGGAACAAAGTACACTTCTAGAATAAATCATTTGGTTATCAAGATTTTTTATCATTTTTATCATTTTTAACATCATTTTATCCTTATTTTATATCATTTTTTTATCATTTGGCTATCAAGATTATTTTTATCAGCAATGATTTATAGAGAGAAATGAAGAAAGAGGACCACATTCTGACTCTATGCAATAAAAAAGATTATTATAAGACAGGAATGGAAGTTGAGAAGAAAAAATGGAGAGAAGAGGAGGGAAGACAAAAAGAAGGACAAAAAAAAAGAAGAAAGAGCAAGAGAGAGGAAGAGAGAAAGGGAGGAGGAAAAAGAAAGTAGACAAAAGGAAGGAAGGATAGGAAGGTAGGAAGGAAGGAGGAGATAGAGGGCAGGCAGGCAGAAGCAACAATAAAACCAGAAATAAATCTTTAAAATTTTTGTAGTAAGAAGTTTTTATCAATAATTACCTAAAATGTAAAGAAAGTAGCAGGAGTATCCATACTTATAGTAGATAAAATAATCTTTAAGTTAAAAGCAGCAAAAGGAAAATACAGATCTTGCACAGTAATTAATTAATTCTGCAAGAGAAAATAACTAAATATATACGTACCCAATTTTGGAGCATTTAACTAAAGTAAATTTACTAAAGTTACACTCAAGTACAGTAAGAGTAAAGACTTGAACACAATCCTTTCTATAAAACATGTATCCCTCAGATGGAAAAATTAACCAAGAAACAACAGGTTTAGACCTATGCCAAATATCTTTCCAACTATTAATTTCATAGTTATTTTTTTCAATATCATATACAATATTCATCAAGACAATATAAGCCATACATTTAAACGTTGTGTGTGTGTGTGTATGTGTGTGTGTGCGCGCGCGCGCACGCATGTCAGTACTGGGACCTGAACTCAGGAGTTTGAACTCAGTGTCTCACACTCTTGCCTGGCTTTTTCTGCTCATGACTGGAGCTCTACCAATTGAGCTATGCCTCCCAAATAACTTCATTTTGTTTGTTTTTGTTGTTGTGACTATTTTGTGGTTTTTGGGCCTCTCATTCCTTCTTAGCTTTTTCCTATCAAGACTTTTACTCTATCACTTGAAGAATGTCTCCAGTTCCATAAATTAAATGAATTATCTTTCATAGACACCATCAATAAAAGTAGAAACCAGTAATAAGAACAAAAAAAAACCATGTTGGAACATACTCAAATAAATGAAAATTAAAGAACTTAAAAAACTAGAAAAATGAAAGAACCAATTTAAAATTCTTTTTATAGAAAGACAATTAATATGATCCAGCCCATTAACAAAATGAAGGGCAAAGACTATGCTATTGGCTGAGCTCATGCCTGTAATCCTAGCAACTCAGGAGGTTGAGATCTGAGGATCAGGGTTCAAAGCCAGCCCGCACAGGAAAAGTCCAATTAACCACCAGAAAACCAGAAGTGGTGCTGTGGCTCAAACTGGAAGAGTTCTCACATTGCATGGAAGAGCTAAAGGACAGAGGCCAGGCTCAAAACAAAAACAAAACCTATATGAACCTCTCAAAACATGCAAAAAGGCATTTAAATTCAGTTTCTTTATGATGAAACGAAATGAATTACATATTGGACTAACATTTCTCAACATTAAAAAGGCCATGTATCCTAATCCACAGTTAACACATTGAATGATGCAAAGCTGAACCATTTGTCTTTAAGATGAAATCACTATCAAAAATATGTCATTCTTTAAATTAAAGAAGAAATTAAGAAGTTTCTACAATTCAATGAAAATGAATGTACATCACAAATCTATGGGACATGAGAAAAGCAGTCCTGAGGGGCAAATTTATTGCTCTCAGTGCACCCATCAAGAAAATAGACAGACCAAATAAATAATCTCATGATGCCACTAAAACTGCTAGAAAAGCAAGAAAAATTAAACCCAAAGTTACTAGACAGAGCAAGACAACCAAAATAAGAGTTGAAATTAATGTGATAGAGACTAAGAAAACTATAAATAAAATTAATAAAACAAAAGGCTGTTTTTCAAAAAATGACAATAAAATTGACAGACCTCTGGCAAGATTAACTTAAAAAGGAAGAGAGGAGACTCAAATCAATAAGATCAGGGATGCCACAAGAAAAATTACAACAAACATCCAAGACATCCAAATGATCAGAAAGAACTATTTCCAGAGTTTATACTCACTAAGGAAGGAAACCCTAGCAGAAATGAATTTTTAGAGAAATACAAGCTGCCTAAACTGAATTAAGAAGAAATAAATCAATTAAATTAGCCAATAACTTATAATAAGATAGAGGACTTGATCAGAATTCTTCCAATAAGGAAAAGCCCAAGCCCAGATGGATTTACTATGGAATTTTATAAGACCTTTAGAGAGGAACTAATACCCATACTTTTCAAGCTCTTCTGGGAAATAGAAGCAAAGGGAGATATCCCAAACTCATTCAATGAAGCCAATATCACACTCATCCCCAAATAAGGCAACGATCCAATAAAAAAGAGAACTACAGACCAATCTCTCTGATAAATACAAATGCAAAGCTCTTCAATAGAATTTTAGCCAAAAGAATCCAGAAATATAACAAAAAAATCATACGTATGATCAAGTAGGCTTCATCCCAGAGATGCAGGAATGTCTTAACATATGTAACTCAATTAATGTAATTCATCAAATCAACAGATCCAAGGTCAAGAACCACATGATTATCTCCATTGATACAGAAAAGGGTTTTGAGAAAATACAACAACCATTCACATAAGGAAAATTCCTTAAAAGGATAAAAGCCATAAATGAAGGAACATTCCCTAAAACAATAAAAGCCATATATGACAGCCAATAGCCAATATTATACTAAATGGGAAAAAACTACAACCAATTCTCCTAAAATCGGGAACAAGGCAAGGATGTTCACTCTCTCCACTCCTGTTCTGCTCCTTACCCAGAGCAATAAAGCATGAAAAGGACATTAAAGGGATCCACATAGGGAAGGAAAAAATTAAACTATCCCTATTTGCAGATGACATGATATTATAACTTAACGACTCCAAAACTCCACTCCCAAACTCCTAGAATTTATAAACTACTTTGTCAAAGTTAGCAAGATATAAAAATAACCCACAAAAATCAGTTGCCCTTCTGTACAGCAACAACGTACAAGCAGAAAGGGAAATCAGAGACACAACCCCATTCACAATAACCTCAAAAAAAAATCTAGGAATTAACCTACCCAAAGATGTAAGACCTATTTAGTGGAAACTATAAAAGCCTAAAGAAAGAAATCAGTGAGGACACCAGAAAATGGAAAGACCTTCAATGTTTTTGTATAGGCAGAATCAATATTGTGAAAATGGTCATACTGCCAAAAATGATATACAAAATGAACATAATTCTCATTCAAATCCCAGTGACATTATTTATTGAAATAGAGAAAACAATCAAAAAGTTCATATGGTACAACAAAGATGTAGAACAACCAAAGCAATTCTAGGCAAAAGTAACAACACAGGAGGTATCACAATACAAGACTTCAAGTTCTACTATAGAGCCATAATAACAAAAACAGCTTGATATTGGCACAAAAACAGACCTGAAGACCAATAGAATAGATTAGAAGATCCAGAAATAAAACCACATACTTACAGTCAATTGATATTTGATAAAGGAGCTAAAGACATACAGTGAAAGAAACACAGCCTCTTCAACTATTGGTGCTGGGAAAACTGGGCGGCCACATGCAGAAAACTAAAAGCAGACCCCAGCCTATCACCATGCACTTACATCAACTCAAAATGGATTAAAGACCTTAATATCAAACTTGAAACTCTGAAACTACTGCAGGACAGAGTAGGAGATATACTTGAACTTATAGGCACAGGCAGAAACATTCCAGGGTCACAACAAATTGGAGAGCTACTCAACAAATGGGACTACCTTAAAATAAAGTTTTTGCATGGCTAAAAACAAGCTACTAAACTAGAAAGACAGCCAACTGATTGGGAAAGGATAGTTACCAGCAATATATCAGACAAAGTCCTAACATTCATTATATACATGGAACTCAAGAAACGAATCCCCCCCAAATCTAACAAACCAATCATTAATCGGCAAGGGTTCTAAAGAAAGACTTCTCAGAAGAAGAGATAAAAAACGGCAAAGAAAGCCGGCACCAGTGGCTCACACCTGTAAATCTAGCTACTCAGGAAGCTGAGATCTGAGGA